TTGATTTACAAATAAGGAATCCTACTTCGCGGAATTTCATTTATCACGGTAGGGTCTAGAACCGATTAACCGTGATAAACGAGGGTTCACTGTACAGTATTTTCAAATATATAAATATCCGTGAGGTTTCTGTAATTCCAAGTTATTTTCTTTCTGTGTTAGCTGCCTAGAACCTTTCTTTCTTTGGGGGGTGGGGGTGAGGAACTGTTTTTTCTTGAAAGTGCACACTCTCAATGGTTTTGGACCCTGGTCTGGGTTGGTCACAGTGGTGGCAATAGAACCCAGCTTGAACCAACACAGATCCTATCTTCCACCCCAACAGGGAAGATTTCTTAACTAGGACACAAAAGCCTAAATTATATAAAAGTTTTATATGCAAATTCTCACAATATACTGGAAACAAAAGAAATAATCTGGCTAGCCAATATATACCAACAAAATTAATTTAGTAAAAAACTTTAGGCGCTCTCATTGGACTGGAAGTTTTGTTTGGCCACATCTACACAGGAATCCAATATGCAAGGAAACAGGTCATGTCTCTGAACAGCACCCCGCCCCCCCCACTTGCCTTTTTAGCAGTTCGAGGCATTCTGGGTCCCTGTGTGTTCTTTTCTTTGGATTGAAGAATTTTCAATTTCTTTTTTTCTCTAATCTGTTTGGCCAGCTGCCGGATCTCCATCATTTCCTCATCTTCACTTTCGGAGTCACTGTCATACTCTCCAGCAGCTCTTCTTAGTTCTTCCTCTTTCTCCAAGTCTTCCAGTTTCTTCAAAAGGAGACACAATGACACACAATCAGAAATGAAACACTCACATGTAGATGCAGCGATGCTAATACAGGAAGCACCTTTCCCGGAATCTTTGGAGACAGAAGAAAAGCCACAGTCTAGTCTCTCTGGGAGAAAATAACTTTGAAGAAACGAACACATATAAATACTACACTGACAGCATAGTGTGGATTGACCTGTATCGTTTCTTTTTCTCCTTTGAAAACAATTACTCAAAGATTAGCTTTTAAAATGTGCCAACATCCTCCCAACAGATAAATAACAACAGGAAATAGCCTCAGAGACTTAAAGAATTACACAGACACACAAATATCCACCAAGAAGCTTCAAAAAGTTCCTGGAAAAATAAAATAAAAAGATTATAGATTGTTTCCCCACAAACTTTTGAGGCCCCTTCATATACATAGTTTTATACTACAGTATCCTAATTATTTACTCTAATGCAATGCTATCCCAAAGTAATACCTGTCTAGATAGTTAATAATAATAAAAATCAACAGGTCAGAAGACCAATTAAGGCAAATGCAGTGCATAAAAAAATTATATGGTAGGGGACAAGAATATTTCAGAAGTGGAATAAATAGAACAAGTGAGAGTAAAGGAGGCGTCACAATGGTTATTCTTAGGGTAGCTAAATAAACCATGTTGTTACCATTTTCTAGAATAAGAAGTTTGAAATTTAAGGTGGGTCGAACTTGAAGACAATCAATAAATAAAATAAAATAAATTAATTAATTAAATAAAATAAATGAAGGAGGGTACTTGGAAACTAATGAGGGGTTAAAAAAGAAGTAGGCAGCAAATATTTTTCAAAAAGCTTAGTGTAGGAGAAAAAGAGGGTAATAAGTCAAAGTAGGATGCCAGGTTAAAGTATGTTTTTTTACATAAGATTGGAAAAGTGTGTAAACAGTTGTTTGTTAAGAAGCAGCAACAGGGAGAGGAACCGAAATGAGAGAAAAACATCACTGATGGAACCAAACTCATCAATCATCAGGATGATGATGGGGAAGCGCTTTTACTGAGTCAGGACATCACTGGGGGGGAGGGGGTGGTGGTGGCAGGAAAAGGAGGAGATTATAGAACTCATGCCCCCTGGAATCCATTTTCTCTGTCAAGTGAGGTAATCTGTTAAGGGGGGCAGGGAAAAGGAAGCCCAGATAGGCGGGCTCAGAATAAGTGGGGCTAATTTCAGAAAGTGGGCAGGTGGCAGGATCACCGGACCAAGATGGAGCAATGTCTCTGTGATGGACATTTTCCCCAGCATCCAGGATGGTAGTTTCAGGACAAATGCAGAGAAAGCACTCAAGGGACAAATGCAGCCAGGACTACTTGTATCTTCTAGTGGCCGTGCTCAGGAGGAAAATCAATCATTCCACAATCAACACAGTACATAAGGTGTCACTGACCCTCATGATGTCAGGATCAATATAATCAGATATATTGTGGCCTTCCCAGATCTCTGGAATTTTATCGGATTTCTCAGATGAATCCATTAAGTCCCAGTACTCTAGAGTTAACAAACAAAAAGGATGTTTTAGTTTTCAATGTATTTAAATACAGCGTGTCCTAAATGAGTGTGAAATTGTGCCCCTTCTTACCACTCTATAAAGATAATCAAGCATTTGTATTCACCACCACAGAGAAAAATAGTACGGTCAATTATATAGCTACTCTAAACATTGTCTAAGGCATTTGAATATTTCAGGACCAAGTGGACCTCTAATGAAACAATCAGAGAAAAAAAGATAACATCAATTTGCTGCAATATTTCTATGCTGTGAAACTACAATAAACTGTTCAATCTAGGCCAGAAAAGTACCCAGAAAACAAAGCACCAATAAACTTTATAGAGCCCTGCTTGCCTTTAAGAAATTAAAAAATGAACAAATATGCTAAAAAGACTTTTCATTGTTAAAGTCCTTTCACTTTTCAAATTGGCATTTGAAGATGTATAAAACTGTTTTATAATAGCACTTACTTTGAAGATCCAAAATATAATCATCTCCCATTTCCAGTTCAATATCTCGTTCCTGCAAGAAAAAAGACAAAAACAAATCTCAGAAACATGTGCAAAATCAGCTTCAGCTTTCTTTTAGGTTTGAAAGCACTAAGCACTCTTCTTGTTACTACAAAATAATTTCTTCCTCTAACATCCAAACCTTTCAATACCTATGGATTCAACTCCCATTTCTGGTAAGAAAGTTGGTTTGTTTTCAATCACCTTGCATACTATATATTTTACTTATCACCTCACTCGCTGCCATTTCCCATTAACTGAAATGCAAGTTCCAAAAGCATAGGGACCTCTGCCAGTAGGGACCCGCTACAATCACAGGACCTAACACTGGGCTTATAGGCGGCTTTTAATACATGTTCAAGGCTTCCATTCTCCATTACTAGTGCTGCTCTCTCTTTATAATTAAATCAGTTGTGAGTTAATTTTAAGTAACTTACCCTTTTTCTTTTAGGCTCCTCAATCTCCATTCTCTTCTTACGTGCCACTACTCCTGCTGGGATGAAAGGAGGTCTCTCCTAAGAAGACATTATTGAAAATACGTATATAAAACACTGCTTCCGTGGGAGGGTGGGAGCGGGGCGGGGGCGAGGAGCCTGGGGGGACAGACCAAATCAAACCAAAAACCTTTCATAAGCAGTAAAAACCAGGTACAAATTCTCCATATGTTACGGACAGAAAAACATAGCCAGACCAGTCAAATTACCAACAGAGAATCCGGGGGCAAGGAGTAAACAGCAATTTAGACAAAGAATTCCAAGAACAGTTCACAAGTACTGTATATATGGTTTTCCAGCACATTTTTAATGCAGTTTCTGTGGTAAAATTAGGTGCCTCAGCTGATATTTGGGTTGGCTTATTCTCGAGTATATACGGTGGACTAAAAACAGACTTTGAAAAAAGTATTATCAAAATCATGTAAAAAATTATGGAAACAGGAAATTGGCACAGGAGAAATAACAGATAAATGCAAGAGTGAAACTTAGCCACAAACTCAGGGACATATGAGAATCCAATAGCAAATGAATTATTTCTTAATTAGACCTGAGTTAAATGGCTAGCTATTTAAAAGACAGAGCAGATAACTACCTCCAAATCCCCACCTCATTACAAACTAAATTCAAGACACAGTAAAGATTTTTATTCAAAAGAAAATATATTAAAAATTAAACCACGAAACTATACGGGAAAATAAAAAGATGCTTTTTAAAACAATACTTAGGGATGAGTAAGGACTTCCTATACATGGCAAAAAAAATGCAACAGCTATACAAGGGGGTACACCTCCCCCAAACTGGAATTCCCCATCTCCAAAAACTATGTATTTAATTTTTTTATAAAACAACCTTATCACCTTCTAAGTATTCTCTATGAAACTTAAAATACATTCATCAAAGCTGTGATTCCATTCTTGGAAACAGTCTTCAAACTCATCTGTTTGGATAGCTGAAAGCATCTCCCTCATTTTTTTCTTCACCTCTTCCATGGCATCAAATTGCGGTACTTTCATGTCCCTCTTCATCCGCGGAAACAAAAAGACATTGGCACAGGCCAGGTGAGCAAGGAGTGTGGGGCAAGAGAGGCGTGCACTCAGATGACATGAGCAGGTGTATTGTCATGGTGGTAGCAAAACCAGTCTGTCTGTCACAAATCAGGCCTTTTTTGTCGCACACATTCTATGAATTGTTTCAGAACCTCAATCTTTTCAGAAAACTTGATTAACAGTCTGACCTGGTGGAATGAACTCCAAATGCACTGAGTCTACATTTTCATCCCTTTGGGAAGTTGATGGACATCCAGAATGAGGTTTTTCATCAATCGCCATCTCACCCTTTTTGAAATGAGAAAATCACTCATACACTTGAGGGTTTTTTTTCCACTTGAGGTTTTTTCCCCATAATGTTGTCCTGTTAAGCTGTGTTCAACATCACAACAGTTTCTGTCCCCAAGCAAGAAACAAAATTTCACAGCAGCACACTGTTTTCTTCAATTGGCCATCACAAAAAACGAGGTTCAAGTGAAATTGCTTTCAGGAAAAGATTCACTGTGGCCAGAGAGAACCTTCCCAGGTAACACCACTGGGTGCACTAACTCAGAGCAAGTTCGTTGATGTGTATACGAAAGCCCTACCCAGCAGAGGTTTTTTCCTGCTTTTTTGGGGGGGTATCCATCATGGTAACAATTTTAACTGTATTTCTTTGAGATATTCTTCAGAGCACATAGGATGCAAATCTGATTTTCTTAATGTACAAATGTCAAATCAACAAAAGACAATCCACTCAAAGAACTTAAAAGACCCATAGCGTATGAAAAATATTGAAGTGAAGATAAACAAGTGGCAATCTACCTCAGAAGGAACAAAGCCCATATGGAAGAAGCACACCAGTCTGTGTGATCATGAGGTGTCGATGGGATCAGGTATCAGGCATCTAAGACCCAGAATAAAACCATATCCAAGGTGAATTGGGTGGGTGGGATGGGGGGGGGGGCATGGAGTGGAGACCCAATACTCATCTGTAGATAATTGGACATGCCCTCATAGAAGGGACATAGTTAAGAGATGAGCCAGTCAGGGTACAGTATAGCACCGTTGAAACACACAACTTTCCTCTAGCTCTTTGGTGCTTCCTTCCCCAAACTATGATGACCTCAATTCTACCTTACAAATAGGATTAGACCAGAGCATGCACACTGCTACAGATAAGAGCTCGAAACAAAGGGAATCCAGGATAGATAAACACCACAGGGCCAACAAGAAGAGTAGAAATACCTGGAGGATTCGGTGAGGGTGAGGCGAGAAAGGATGATGTGAGATATAGAAAAAATAATCTATAACTTATCAAGCGTTCGTGAGGGAGGGTGGGCAGGGGACAGAGGGGAAAGAAATGAGGAGCTGATATCAGGGGCTCAAGGGAGAAGAGAATGCTTTGAAAATAATGGCAGCGGCATATGCGCAAATATGCTTGACACACTGGAGGAATGCATGGATTGTGATAAGAGATGTATGAGCCCCCAATAAAAGTTTTTTTTTTTAAAAAGAGATGTTGGACAGTGTAAAACATGACAAAATAACAATTTATAAATTATCAAGGGTTCATGAGAGGGGTGGGGCAGGGAGGGAGGGGAAAAATGAGGAGCTGATACCAAGGGCTCAAGAAGAAAGAAAATGTTTTGAGAATGATGATGGTAGCAAATGTACAAATGTGCTTGACACAATGGATGTATGTATGTATTGTGATAAGAGTTGTATGAGCTCTTAATAAAATGATTTTTTTAAAAAAAGAAAAATATTGAAGTGCACTGATCATCACAAGATAGCCCACTTAAACTACTAGAGTGATAGATAGGTGACACAGGAATACAGATCTTTAAACTATTAGCAAGGTGTAATTGAGAAAGGCATTTTAGAAGACAGCAATATTTTCAAAGCACTTAATTTGTGATTCTCTATTCCAAAGTTTAAAGTTTACTCTCTCTATATAAGCAAACCTCAAAAAAAAACAAAAAACAAACAAACAAACAAAAAATAAGCAAACCTCTTCAGATATACATCTATCTTTGTGAAAAAGATGTACACTCCAGCTATGTGTGATGGAAAGAAATTAGACACAACAGAGAACTACTTGACTGAAGCACCAGCATATAAATGAAAATGAGTAAGTTGGAACATAAATTGCAAGACAACACAATACACTGCCAATTGTGTTTTTAAATATAGATGTATTTTAAATGCAAATATACCCAAACCACTACCTGCATGCCAGTGTGTTCTACTATAGTGGATTCCATGTTGCCATGATGCTGGAATCTATGTCACTGGTATTTCAAATACCAACAGGGTCACGCCTGGTGGACAGGTTTCAGCAGATCCTTAAAATTAAGATAGACTAGGAAGAAAGGCCTGACAGTCTACTTCTAAACATCAGCCTTACGGATCACAGGATACTGCCCAACTCGCTTGGCTCTGGACCCCGGAGGAGAACATCATTTTTGCTGAAGCAGAGGTCCAAGGAGGCCAAGAGAGATCCTCGATGAGATGGACTGGGCACAATGGACTCACACATAACAAAGATTGTGAAGATGCTGCTGGTCCCAGCAATGTTTCATTCTTTGTCACGAGCCAGGGGTCATTCAATGACAACTATGCTTTATCTATCTAGCAGAAAATGTTCGAATAAACAAGATAGAAATAACAGTAACTAGCTGGTGGAGTGAGAAGATATTTAACTTGGCACTTTACTCATTTACCTTTTCAACTGTTTATAATATACATGCATAACTTCTGTCATGAGAAGAAACCAAGACCATTCATGAAACCTGTGTGTATTAGCTTAACTGAATCTATAACCCCCGGAGGGGGGTGGGGTGGTGGAGCATAATGATCTCATTTCCAGGCATTCTAAAAAGGCAACCTTACCTTGTCATCCCTTTTGTTTGGTAGAGCCAAATGCAATCTGTTCAGCACCTCATTCACTTTGTTTCCTTTCATTTTGGTTTCAACTCGGTGAGCCAAAAGCCTATCACAAGCCTAGTGATGGATAAAACACAGGACACACAGTCAGAGACACAGGACAACCGCATCCTATACGACCCAGGAAACAATCACGAACCAAAGTCCCCACACGGATCAGATTTATGTTTCAAAGACTTGTTTGTGAGCATCTACTTGTTGGGGACCTATGGATTTCTACTAACTTTTTAAAGTTCTCTCATGTTATGCTTTTCCCGTAATGATATTAACATGTAAAGGTGAAATTCTTATCAGGTATCACCCCCATATCAATATAACCACTACTGTAGCGTACCACACTCTCTGATAAAGAGGAAAGGCTTCATTCTCTCTTGCAGGTGGTGGACCTGCTTTAAGCAAAATGTCTTAAGCTCATTGGCAAAGTTGACCTTTAACCTCTGATCACAAACCACTGTGAACTTTTCTCTCAATATTAATGACTATCCAAAGCTTGTAGTGCTTGAAATCTGTCCTTCGTAAAGGAGTTTAAAATAAGATCTTTAACTATAAACCACTTTCCAGATCATGTCTAACCTCAGAAACTAACCTTTGAGTAAAATCAACAGCATCCCAGCTTTCCCCCTATTTTAGGGAAATATAACATTGTTTATTTAAATAAACAAATAAATAAGGCATCATGTGTAATCCAACATGAACCTGCCTCTCTTAACCTGTTCCTGCTTTTTATACTATCGTCTTCCTTCTACTTTTGAACAGGTTCCATGAACACATTTTTTCACAGTAGCTCCAGTGGAAATATTCACAGGCTGAGAGACAGCAGATAAAGTTAAAATTACTGACAAATTATCACCTGGTGCTGCTTTAACACAAGTGCCATACATAGGCGGCTTTAACAAACAGACATTTATTTTCTCAGTTTAGGAGGCCAGGAAGTCCTTACTCTGTCTCCTGGGGGATGTTCATGTGGCATGTTTTTTTCTCCTGAAGACATATACTACACTGGTTTGGCTTCTTTAACAACAAAACCCTATAGTCAAATAAGATTACATGCTCAAGGAGAAGGGCGAGAAATTACAGCATATATTTGGGGAGACAATTCAACTCCTAATATAAACTCTTCAAATTCTCATCATTCAACTGAGGATGGAGAGAGAAGGCCTAGAGGCTCCAGTGAAGGGGTTTAAAAACCACCTTGTTCACTACTGCATCTACTGCCAACTAGCTAGTTAGTATGAGGGGTTAGATGACTAATACGAGGGATCATCAAAAGCTCATGGAAAATTATCATTGAGGGAAAAGAGGAGCTGATACCAGGGCTCAACCAGAAAGTGAATGTATGCAAATAATGATGGCAACATATGTACAAACATGCTTGATAAAATTGACATGGATTGTTATGAGCTGTAAGAGCCCCCAATAAAATGATCTCTCTCAAAAAAGAGCAACACTAAAAGATAAATATATAGTAAAATAAATATATATCTATTATGTGAATTTCTCAATATAGCCTCAAATTCAAATCACTTTTGTAAGTGAATTTAACTATCCCGGTGCGATCTTTTATACACATTAAAAATAGTGCCCTTTAGGTTTTTTCGGATTAGGAAGCAAGGAATCAAGACGGCTATCAGGATTGAAAAAGTGGATGCCTAATGATTTCACACTGAGAAATTGGCGTTTTTAAATGAGATGAATAAGCAGTTTTCCCATGCATTTTTCTGCTAAAGTTCTGACTATCTCAAAACACTCATAAACATGTACTGTCATTCTTTGGTCCCCCAGAGAGCCAACAAGCAAAATGGCTTGAGCATCACCTGTGGCATCCCGCCCCCCCACCCCCCATGACCCTTGCTTTTGACTGTCCCAGTACCTCCTCTTGGTAGCCAACATTTTGCTTACGTTTTGTCTTTAGCCATATTTTATTTCCTTTTGGAATTCTTCTTAAAAAAAAAAAATATTCAGGACCTTGATCTCAATGGTTTAAAATTTCTATTTCAAGTTCTGCGCCTGTCTGCAGTTGATCTGGGTGCAACAGTTTGGGTACCCATTGAGCAGAAAATCTGCTCACCTTTAATTTTCAGTCAGAATTGAGGAAGCTGAAGCAATTGGGATGTCCATGGTGCTGCCTATTTTATCAGCTGGTAATTCAAATACGGCATGACCAAGATTATTTACTCAAAAGTTGATACGGATGGTCTGCCAGTGCAATCGTTCTGCTTCAGTCTTAGCAGAATTCATGCTGCTCTGATAAGTGCTCTTTTCAAACTGCTGTCTTATCCTTAGTGCCTCCAACTAGATGATCCTGTTCATACCTGTGATAATAAGTTAGTATGAGTTTATTTCATAACCGCTCCTCCCCAAAGAAGGAAATACATGCATAGCTTTTTCCCCCAGTATATACTTTCCAAAACTTTTGGAACACCGTGGTGTACCAGAAAGATAAATGCTTTTCCCAGGGCTGACATTTCTGAAACAAGAGAAAGACATGAGGATTATTGGTCTTTGCTTTTAAGGAAGCACTCACCTCCATCTTAACCTTAATAACACCTTCCTCAGTCAGGGTGCTGGTCTCTATTACAGGAAATCCTTTGGTCTGCAAATCGATAAATATTTTCTGGGAATATAAAGGAAAAATGAGAAATGCATTGCTGTTACTCAAATGGGTGTTTTAACCTCTTTTGAAGAATAGTTCTCTTACAAAGTTATTTTCCCCTAGAAATCCTTTCATGATAAAGACAGTACAAATCACCGAATCACACTTGACTGTAGCAAGCCAATTCCAGGGCACTCAAAAACATTCTGTCAGACTTCAAAAAAGACAAGTCTTAAGTAAAATGTAAGAAATTCTTACATTTTAAAAGTCTAGGAGGCTTTTAAGACTATATTGTTAGCAAACAATATAAAAATGCAGCAGGGGTGGAGTGGGAGACCTGGTAGGGCAGGTTCAAGGGGAACGTAACAAAGAGGAAGTGCTGAAATCCTGGTGGGGACTGAGCATGATAGTGGGACAGGAGGAGAATCAAGGGAAATAGAGGAAAGAGCTGGGAGGCAAAGGGTATTTATAGAGCTCTAGATAAGACATGTACATATACAAATATATTATATGAGGATGGGGAAATAGATCTATGAGCCTACATTTATAGGTTTAGTATTAAGGCAGCAGAAGGACATTGGACCTCCACTCAAGTACTCCCTCAATGCAAGAATACTTTCTTCTAGTAAATTGGCATTCTATGATGCTCACCTTCCCAACACAACCGCTGAAGACAAAGCGGGTGAATAAGCAAATGTGGTGAAGAAAGCTGATGGTGCCCGGCTATCAAAAGTTATAGCATCTGGGGTCTTAAAAGCTTGAAGGTAAACAAGCGGCCATCTAGCTCAGAAGCAACAAAGCCCACATGGAACAACATATCAACCTGTGTGATCACGGGGTGTCGAACGGATCACTGAAGACAAATGGGTGCATAAGCAAATGTGGTGAAGAAAGCTGATGGTGCCCAGCTATCAAAAAGTATAGCGTCTGGGGTCTTAAAGGCTTGAAGGTAATCAAGCGGCCATCAAGCTCAGAAGCAACAAAGCCCACATGGAAGAAGCACACCAGCCTATGCAACCACGAGGTGTCGAAGGGATCAGGTGTAAGGCATCATCAGAACAAAAAATCTTACCATAGTGAATGATGGGGGGAGTGCGGAGTGGAGATCCAAAGCCCATTAGTAGGCCACTGGAGATCCCCTTGCAGAGGGGTCTCGGGGAGGAGATGAGCCAGTCAGGGTGTGATGTAACAATGATGAGAAATACAACTTTCCTCTAGTTCCTAAAGGTTTCCTCCCCGCTCCCACTACCATGACTCGAATTCTATCTTGCAAGACTGGCTAGACCAGAGGAGGTACACTGGTACAGATAGGAACTGAAAATACAGGGAATCCAGGACGGATGAGCCCTATAGGACCAGTGGTGTGAGTGGCAAAACAGGGAGGGTAAAGGGAGAATGGGTAGGAAAGAGGGAACCAATTACATGGAACTGTGTGTGACCTCCTCCCTGGGGGACAGACAACCGAAAAGTGGGTGAAGGAAGACGTCGGACAGGGCAAGATATGACAAAATACCCATTTATAAACTATCAAGGGCACATGCGGGAGGGGGGAGCGGGGAGGGAGGGGAAAAATGAAGACCTAATGTCGGGGGTTTAAATGGAGAGAAAATGTTTTGAGAAACGATGTACAAATGTGCTTTACACAATTGATGTGTGTATGGATTGGGATAACAGTTGTATGAGCCCCTAATAAAATGTTAAAAAAAAAGAAAAAGAAAAAAAAATGCAGCAGGAGTGAACATCACACAATCACCTGTAGGGCTCGGTGAATCAGACTGCTGAGCCCTAACCCCTAGAGTTCCTGATTCAGAAATTCTAGGGTGGGGGCCAAACATCTGCATTTTGAACACCTTCATAGGTGAGAAGGACCCTGCTGACTGGACTGGGGAGTGTAGTTTAAGAACCACTCTTCTAGTGTGATGCTCTCAAGGCAGGTTTCCTGAAAGATACCTCTTAAAAAGAGCTTGAGGTCAACTAGGAAGAAATAGAACGTTTAGAAAACCGATTGTGGTAGCAATTGTACAATTCTGCTCAATGTGATTGAACTATAGAATGCTATATGTACTAAATCCAATTAACAATAAATGTAAAATAAAGAAATAAAAGGACTGTGGGGTTGAATTAGTTTAAAAACTAGTATTTTCCTCTAGTACACATTAAAACCTATTGTCTTATATTGCAATAGTTTACAGAAGCTCACTTTCCTTTGTTGAACCAGTCATTTCCCAAACATATTTAGCCATCGAGCCATTTTAACTTATGTAGTACCTACATAAACCTAGCTAAATATTTTAGAAAATATTGCTCTGGTATACAAGATGCTTTGAGGTGGGAAAAGAGAGATGCTTATTTTAGCATACTCTGCTATCTTAAAGGCATCAATTTAAGAGTTTTTTTACAGTAAATGTATTTACCCCAAATATAATTTTACATCACAAGTTTTTATATAATGGTCATCTCATGAAATTCCTGAAGCCATTATATTGTGTGAAATGAACAACTTGATTAGCATTGCCAAAATCGCTCCTGTCCAAAAATGACATTTAGAATCAGCAGGACATAAATTGTTACAGAGATATTTAGGTGGTTTACCTGATCATCTTCAGGAAGTTCAGCGATTTTCTTCACATCACATTTGTTTGCTACAATTATAAGTGGCTAGCAAGGAAGAAGAAGAAGATTATTTATTAACTTCATACTGCAGACCATAAACAAAAACACCGGATTATCCTATGTACCTTATTGATAAAAAGAGGCTTAATGTTTTGGAAGAGCTCCAGCTGCTCCTTCAGCCCATGCCCGCACTGCTCAGACAAATCCATTACGTAGAGGACGGCAGCACGAAGGTGGGCCAGTGCCGTGATGGCCTGCATCTCGATGGTGTTCCGATCTTCCAGAGGCTGATCTAAAATCCCTGGAGTATCCACAACCTAGAGACAACATTTGTGTTAATGGGGAAGGAACAGCTCATGAAAGGAAGGTGAGAAGGGTCTGCACCCCTCAAACGATGTCATCACTATCACTACTCGGTACTGCAGAGACTATGGCACTAGTGTGTTTTGCAAAATTTGCATCGTAATTTGTAAAATCAAAATTCTATTGTGAAAACAAATTGTTCATGCATTTAAAGAGTATATATCACTTCTAATCACAGGTTAAAAATGATGACAAAGAACTCTTCATTTCAGTTTAAAAAAGCACCGTGACTAATATACCATATTTTTCACATGCAACATGTCCACGTAAACACCACAAACAACAGACATAATATGCACAGGAAACTAACGGAGGTGGGGGCTCACAGTTTGCAAAAACCAAATAATATACACATTACTGGTCGAAGAATGTGCTTATGAACAAATCTATGCTGGTAGCTAAAGTTGCTCACTTTAATGACAGCATAGAAAAGTTCATTGTTTTTCTAGAATTTCAAAGTGCAGCTGAGTTTTCTTTATGTAGAGAAGTTTCAAGCTCTTTGGGACTCCAAAAATATTTTCCACATCTCTCTAGAATTCTCTCCAAAAAAAAAAAAAAAAAAAGGATTCTCTCTAGAGCAGCAGATTTCAACCTGCGGGTCTTGACCCCTTTGGGGGTTGAACGACACTTTCACAGGGGTCACCCGATTCATAACAGTAGCAAAATGACAGTTATTTTATTTAATAGTAACAATGAAAATAATTTTGTGGTTGGGGGTCACTATAACATGAGGAACTGTATTAAAAGGTTGCGGGTGAGAACCACTGCACACAGCTCATAGTTGACTGTACATAAGAGTTCACTATAATATGAACAGCTTTCTTTAGAAATCAACAAAATTTCATTAATTAAAAAAATTAAGCCACCTGCTCTACTTTTAAAATAAGAACTCCCCCAAAAGCAAAACCAAATGAAACCCCTCTCACCTGCCAACGAAGGTATTTATAATCCATGTGCCCAACAAACAACGACTTAGTTGTGAAGGCGTAAGGCTGAACATCCACATCAGCTCTTGTCACCTTAAAAAAGAATACCGAAATTTCAACAAGCACAAGAAATTTTATACTTTTATACTTGAAATTTTTTTATACTTGATATTATCAAGACTAACTTTTTTGTTTGGGTAGAAAACACAATCAAAAGAGGATTAAACGGCACAAAAAGGTGTTACCTCCCTCAGATTACCTGTCCCTTAGAACATGAACCACAGTAGGAAGGCTAGGATTAACGTAAATTTGGAGGCTATCCATCATTTAACGCATGTCCCCAAACTCTTCTAATTCTCCAAAACCGGATCCTACTAGTCCAGTAATGTCCAATAACATTTTCTACAATGAGATATTCCATATTTGCCATGTCATCATTGGCCACATGAAGCTAATGACTTTTTTATGCTACCGAACTCTTGATAGATGCTACTGTGACTCAGATATTAAAATCTTAATTAAAAAGGAGAAAACTACACTGGCCAGGGCTATCATATTGGATCACACACCACTACCCTGGTCCAGCAGATTAGCAGATGCTACTCGGAAATGTATTTAAAATGCTTGGATATCACCAAGTCATGCCAACGTAGGTGTAACATGAAAATCCAGGAATCTGTCTAAAAGCAAGTCTTCTTGGTACCAAGTAACCTGTAACATAAGTTAACCTAACATGTTAACTGATGTTAGTTATAAGCCCACGTTTCAAAAGCTGTAGCTACTCTTTTCAGTCTCGATCTCTGCTACATTATCTCAAAGCACCAAATCACTAAATTTCTTAAAGGTTAATGGACAGGGTTCCAATCTCTCACCCCACATTTTACTAACTAAACTCCCTGAGGCAATGAAATAGTGACTCAGCAGCGTACCATTACAGTCGACCCAACAGTTTACGTCAAAGTTGATACAGCAACTAAGGTGACAAATCAGTAAGTGTAGTATGTCCAGTAAGTAGTTTCTCTGGCCCTACCATCCCCAGAATATTAGTTAACACATCCTTTGAAAAGCTCTCCACTTTAAAACAATAATGTGGTGAAATACCTCAAATTCCTTAGAAATATGTAAGAATAAAAAATGAAACTGTTTTTCTAATAGCAAGATAAACCTAGGTTCAGACAAATAGCCAATCCTGCCTAAAAGGGAATCTCCTATTCTCTGTATGCCAAAAACACTTCCCAAATCAATGTATTAAACCCCACTCAGAACAAATACAGCAATACTCTCATCTAAAATAATCAGATCATTAGCTTTCTAGTAAGAGACCACCAACCTTATTGATGAAGCTGGATTTTCCAACATTGGGGTACCCACACAAAAGCAGAGTTCTGGTGTTTGGATCAATGGTCGGCAAACGGGATAAATGTTGGCGTACTATGAAAGTTTAAATTAAATGTGTTTAGTTTTCTAAGGAAACATAAAGAGTAAAAAGACTTGATGGACAAACTACAATACCTTTTAATTTGCTTTTCCACTAACTACTAGAAGGCCTCTCATAAAAGTGGTTAAGAAAAAATATATTTTAAAAAGGATTAGCTGGAAGCCAATACAGTACACAAGCCAACATGGTATACAGAACAGCGTTTCCCAAATCTAGCTACACCAAAGAATCCTCCTATTCCAAGGCTGTTGAATCCATTCTGACTCAAGGTGACCGACCTGTAGGTCAGAAGAGGACTGCCCCACAGGGTTTCCTAGGTTGTAGTCTTTGAGAGCGCAGATTATCAGACCTCTGGATTCGAATCACCAACCTCTTAGCTAGAAGCCAAGCACTTCACCACCAGGGCTTCTTTTGCTAGCCCTTACCAAATCAATACTCCTATTCAGTAAGCTAAAGGTAGGCCTTTTGCATAGTGCTATAGTTTTGGTTTATAAATATATTGAAGTCCTTGCTCTCATCTTTTAGGAAGATATGTGCAGACTCATGTGGCAAATGAAAAACCATATATTTCCCACAGCAGAGGCACAATTTTATATTCCTACCAGATGCGGACAGGGTTCCTGCTGAGCACTTGTTTTCTGATTGTTTTTTATAATAGCCATCTAAGCGGGTAAGAAGTGACATCAGTGTGTTGAGGGCTGGTGAAACTGTGGGCTGTTAGGCCAGGTCAGGTTCCAAACCCACCAGCCTCCAAGGAAGAAAGAGGTGGCTGTGAGTCATGAGTCGGCAACCACTCAATGGCAGAGCATTTGGTTTGGGGAAAGACAATGGTGCTGATGTCCAGCATCTTTTCACGTATTACGTCATTACCTTCTTTGAAGAGGTCCTGAGCCTATGTTTTGGTTGTGTTATTTTTTGCTGTTAGAAAGCCTAACTTAGCAATTGTCCTATTAAAAACATCAGGTAACAAAAGCTGGAGAAGCAGTTTGGTTCTAACACGTATCATACACACAAAAACTTTTTTTTAAAAAGAAAATGAAATCAACAGGTAGAACAAGGAATCATTTATTTTAGTATATTTTGGAGTTTTCTCATTTTATCCATGGCTTACTTAATTATTAAAAAAATATCAATTTTCTTACTACTGCTATTAATTTCTAAGCATTATCAGTGTGAATCACCTTTTCTATAAAAACCAGGCTATTAGAATAACAATACTGCGATAAAATAATTGGAGTCTGTCATCTCCACATTGGGTGGAAACAGCCGAAGTGTCCAGAGTAGATAAACACAATGTGGTACAGACAACAGAGCATTACTCAGCCATAAAGACTTATGGTACAACATGGATGAACCCTAAAACATTACACTAAGTGAAAAAAAAAGCTAAGACAGCAAAAGAGCAACTAAGATAGAGAATAGGAACATTTAGAGAGACAGAAAGTAGAATATAGATTTTGTGGATTGGGAAAGGGGAGAAGGATGGGGTATTATTGTTTAATGAGGATAGAATTTCTCGTTGGGGTAATGAAAAGCTTTGAGAATTGATAGTGTTGAATTATGAGTGATTATTCTCAATGTACAACTGTACATTTGAGAAACTGCCAAACTTATACATATTTGTTTAAAAGTGGCACTTTTATAGTATATGCTTTTTACAATAAAATATTTAAAAATTTTTTCCGTCTGGGAAAAAAAAGACATTCTTGTTATGTATAACAAATACCTTGTTCCAAGTACTCCAAGCTCTGCTTCTGTCTTTTGATAATAGTACACATTCGCCCAAGGGCAGCACGTTTCAGCTGTTTGCAGCGGTACAAAGAATCTCCGTATTTCATGAGTCGCACATAATCTTTCGCAACACTTAAAAAAAACAAAAACAACTTAAGTTTCCCCCCACATTTTTGGTAATACCTTAAAAGACACCATATTAAGAAAATTCCTTACTTGTCCACTAAATTTTTGGCAATATTTATTTGTCCTAGAGCCAACTTGTAATGATCCTTGTCATAGAGAATATTCATCAAATCAGCGTAAAATGGGTGGATATCCTACAATAAAGAACAAATCTGTTATTCTGGTCCAACAGTTTCTCATCCTAATATGTAAATACTTAAAAGATTAATTTCCTGAGGAAATGTACGCCCTCCTTTCCCTCAAAACTCCAGCTTGTTCTCCTCAATCCTCATTCTCTTGGTTAATGGGATGTAAGGACTAGATCTTAGCCCTTCTTGCCAATGAAGAACTTAGTTCATAAATCTTCCCTTTTTTAATTCTTCTACCTCTACTATAGTCCTACCAACCTAAAAATATGCTTTTTCTCAATCTTCTGAAGTACTAAAACAACATCCCTTTAACCCAGTGTTTAAATATGCTTTTTCTCAATCTTCTGAAGTACTAAAACAACATCCCTTTAACCCAGTGTTTTTCAAAGTGGGCAAGAGAACTGCCTCCTAGGGGCTGAAGGAATGAACCAGCAGATACCTACACTTTACTCTGGATCACGGGCTATAGTACAAGTTTCTCATTGCTGGGGGGTGCTGAGTAATTTTTTCTTGTTCTGTAAAGGGGGTGGTAGGTCATTTAAGTCTGGGAACCTATGCTTTAACCCCTTTATCTTTTAATTACTGCTCTATTTCTTTGTTCCCTTGCTTGGCAACCTCTACGGAAAAGGGTTAAAAGTCCTTTTTCCCTCCTAGTCTCTTAAACCAACTCCAATTAGGATTTTGTCCCTGTGACTTCATCATTAAAGTTATCAAAATCACCAATGAACTTCCTGGTAATCCATTTTCATTTATTCTAATTTTCTATTGCTCTAGCTATTTAAGTAGGTAGCACTGGAAGGCTGGTCATTCCTGCCAGGATTCTAATCTATATGGACCTCCTAACTGATCACTTCACAACTAATGAGTTCCTTTTGCCAATTCCTCCTCACACCCTGTTCTGCATATCAGCATTCCCCAGAACAACTTTCTTACTTACACTCACTTCCTATATAAAAATATATGTATCCCCCTTCCACCAACAGTTTTATTGGCATATACTTCACATACCCTACAAACAGTCCAATCATTCAATCACATCAAGAGGATATGTATATTTTAATCCCCATGTGTTTCTCCAAGTACATAGCTTTCTTGAGCTTCCAATTACCGTATACACTTGTGTAAATGCCGAGTTTTCCAGCACATTTTAATGCAGCTTTTGTGGTACAATTAGGTGCCTTGGCTGATATGTGGGTAAGCTTATTTATACTCAAGCATATATGCTATGTAGCAATTATACTGGATGTCTTATAATCATCACCATTAATATGTACAAAACTAAATTCTTGATTTCTCTTCCTCCCCAAATCTCTTCTCTCAGTCTTCCCCACCTTGGTAATTGGCAACATCACTATCCAAAGTGTTAGTCTAAACCCTGGAAATCTTTTTCCATTCTTCTTTCCCATCTCTTCTATAAACCAATTCTGCCACTTCTACCTTCAAATCATATGCTGAGACCAATTATTTCTCAACACCTTCACACTAATCTCATCGACATCGCTGCATTAACCAATTAATCTCTCGTATTCTAGGGTCTACTAACACACTGCAGCCAGTCAGCTTTTTAAAAGGAAAGTCAGAGCATGGCATGTACTCTACACTCAAAACCCTCAAACGGCTGACCTAAAAGTAAAAAAGCCCCAAATCAAAATCCCACACAATTGCTTCATTTCATCGTCTGGCTCCTCTCTTACTAGTCTTCCCGCATACTATGACTCAGATCTTATTCCCCGCACACGTCAACTTCTTGACCTTAGGGCTTTTGCTGCTTCGTTGTGTAGCAAATGATCTTTCCCCCAGATATACATCCACATGGCTCACTCTCTCACTTCCTTCAGATCTTTCTGCTCTAATGTCGCCTATCAAAGAAATAGCAATCACACTGCACTGGCACTCTCTATTCTCTTTACTCTTGATTTCCTCATCTGACCCCTGCTTGTTTTCACTTTTACTCTCTGTGATCCCCACGAGAACAAGAATCCCAACGAAATCCACTGCCATGGAGTAGATCCTAACTCTAAGCAACCCTACATCAAATTTCTGAGGCTGCATTTTTTGGGGAACAGAAAGTCCCGTATTTGCCAGAGCAGCAGCTGGTGGGTTTGATCTTGCAATTAGCAGGCCAACCTTTAACACAAAGGACCAACAGGGCTCCTTAGAACAATAGGCCTTTTTACTCACTGCTGCACTCCTTTGCCTAGAACAGTAAACATATAACAAGCATTCAACGAATAGGGTAATTTAACCGTCTACTCAGAAGGTATTCTCAGATAATTCTAGTCTTTATAAAAAAAGGAATAGGATGTTTGTAGTTTAAATCCTCCCACCTCTAATGTATAAAGAGCAATACCAAGAATGGGTGAATTGAAATTTCTTACAAAAAAATCAGGAGACATTTCTTTTGGGGGGAGGGGAGGATGCTAAAACCTTGGTTCATACAGTTATTCTCAGCTCTTTTTCACATACCCCCTTCCCATTTCCTAGTAGCTCTTTCCCCAAGAAATGATTCATTCATTTAGCAAGCATCTGTCAAAAGCATGGTGTCAAGCTCTAGTGATGTTTGCTTTTATCTCCCTCAGAGGGCAATGATAAATTCAGGCTCAACACTGTTTTGTTAATCCCATCATCTTTCACAATCGCTAAGACTCTTGCAACTTGAGTACAACAGAGGGATTTTTTTTTTTTAAAGACAGAACTTTGAGCTAGTTCTTCCAGGTTCTTGGCTGATGAAGTGAAAGCGACACAGAACCAAATCTTTAAAATCTGAGAACTGGAATGGGAAAAATTACCAAAGTCCTGTTAGAAATGGAATCTTTCCCTTAGAAAACAAGGGCATAGTACTACCCTGTGAGGCAACCGAATCTCTTGCCCATGGGACTGGCTCAGATGGCAGCAACCAGACAGTCAGACTGTGTATCACTCTCGACAGCTTGCCACTAACCCACCCCAAGTATCGGGCTTGTGAATGGGCTCACTACAACCCTTTGAGTGTCTCATTCCAGGGTCTCAAACTGTAATTTCCCCTACTATTATTGTTTGGATCACCCAGGTTTTTTAAAACTCAGGCCCGTTCTTGCTTATGTTGTTGGTCATAACTGAACTGGTTTGAAGGCCTGTCTTAAACCGTTTGCTAATGTTGGCTCTTCTTTTTCTACAGCCAATACCCAGTAAATTGCAATATGTAGCAGAAGACATAATGAGTTCTGTTTTGTTTTATTTTTCTCCGTAATACTGCTCCCAAACACCAGTGGACCTTAGGCAGAAGGATCTTACACAACGGCTCCAGTTGACCCAGGAGAGAGAGGCCTCAGAAAGAGGGAGTAGGAGCCGAAAGAGGGTTTTGAGCTTCTGAATTTATAACCCAGAGTTTCCAAATAACTTGAATTGGTTCTTGCAAGTCTGGAGGTCTTAATTAAGCTGAGAAGACGTTGGGCACTCTTATCTGGGGCCTGGCTGGGGTTAAGGAAAAACACCTAAGAAATCCAAAATCCTGCTTTTATTATCACGTTTGCCACCTACATTGGCAAGTCAGCTATTTTGGTTCCCTTTCTGGTTAAACATTGATTATTTGTAGGTTTTGCAAAACTACTTTTGTAGCACAGGAACACACAACCATACATTCAAACTTAGCTCCAACTCACTTACATCCAATTTAGGGAAGTCTGTTAAAATTTGAGAGAGTCTGTCATGGTAATTCTGTTGAGTAAATTTGACTTTCCTCATGTAAAAATGTCTAATACGATGAATTTGATAATGTTTATGGATAACTGTTGGAGTCTTTCGTTGAGTCTTCGATAATGTCAGATCAATAAAATCCTGCAATTAAAGAAAATAAGTCTTAGGTGTATTAAAAACATGTTTTTTACATCCGCTTATCTGAAATATTTAAAGACTAACAATTAGTAATACTAAATTTATGAGGTGACTTCAGAGAGTTCTTGGAAAAATCCTATTTTTTCATTTTTCAGTTTGAAGCCTCCTTATATTAAACAAATATTTTACTACTGTCATATCAAACAGCTTGATTTTCTATTGAATTTATTAATTCAACAATGTTAATCATTCACGCTACAGGATGATGGGGATACAAGGGTGCTAAAAATGAGATAATACACAAAACAGAATCCTTCCCTTAAGGAGTTATGGAATAGTGGCACAGAGAATGTGGGCAATCACAGTAAGAACTGTCAGGAACCTAAGAGGGGGGTGGGGCCTTCAAAAAGTTCACAGAAAAAGAGGGAATTAAAAGATAATTTTGTCATGTTTTTGAAGACCCTTGTACATCTCTTGATCTAATCTATGCATGAAATTGCCTAGACAACCCTTCTCCACTGTGTCGTCTGTTCTTTAAAAGGACCAGTTGTACAGCTACCTATTTCATGTTTCCATGACTCCCTCATTTCCCTTAACGAGCTATATTCATCTATTTTTCAAATTCATGTAGACATATTCCTTCCTTGAAACAACTTTTCATGTCTAGTATAGTTATAAGGACTACTTATAGAAGACTTTTCTTTAGAAACGTAATTTTTAAAAAAGTACAGTATTATGTCCACTTTTATAACCACAATACTCGGACACACAACTACCTTCTAGAATGAATTTTCTCCCCTATCTTCCTGGTGTTATTCTGTAATTCCAATTATCAGTGGATTATCACTATATACTTTCAAACATAAGTCATCTGTCATCTGTCCTCTAGATAACAAAAGATAGATGTTGTGCTATTAAGGATAATGCTCTATTCCCTAGAAAGCCAAAACCCTATGCATATATTATGTTTTAGAAGAGGTGAACAATTCATTTAACAAACTGGGAACATTGCTAAGAAAATGGCATGTGTCAAAAATACAAATATAACATGAACCCTACGATAGTTACAATCTAGTAAGAGATTTCTCATAATTAAAAACAAAAATGAGAAGTGACACACTAAAGCAATGAGACACCTTCTTGTGCTGTGGATATAAAATACTATTTCTCAGCAAAGCTTTCCAAGTCAAATTCGCCCTACTGTTGAGACAAACAGAAAAATAAAAGGACATAAGTATGTATATATGGGTATATTCACAGTGTAGTGAGTTTGAGATCAGCAAGTCCTCCTTGTTACCCTGTCCAACTGTGCAGTACTCAGGAATGTGCAACAGAAGCAAATGTTCCAGAGGAATTCTTTGATCGATGCTATCATACTCATATTGAGCATTTACTACAACAAAAACTCCATTTCTGTAAAGGAATAATACTAATGCATAGTGGACTGATTCTTGCTCTACCTAAAACGACCGGAATTTATTCTGGTCACCTATATACCTTTGTATGCCAGGAGACACAAGCGTTTCTCCCAAATCCAAGTCAAAGACTGCAATGGAAAAGTTTTCAAGGGTTAACCCTTGAGAGTAAAGAACCAAAACCTCTGAGAAGCGAGGGAAAAGGTATGCTGAACTTTGAATCGGAAGATCAAAGTTTTAATTAGTGCGGCTCTAAGGCCTTTAGATAAAGCAAGTCACGGATGTGACGCGGTGGCTTGAAGTTTCATCCCTCGGATATTGGGGACACCTCTTCACCCCGCCATATCCAAGCCAACAGTCTCTGCAGATATCTGGGACCCCATGACAAAGGGGTAGCCCCCTCTCGAGAGGACCTGGACTAGAGCAGGGCGTTGACAACGCGGGGGTGGACGTGGTGGAGAAGAGTCTCTCCAGAGACTATGGAAGAAACTAGCCAGGTCGCCAACAGGACCGTCCTCGCGGGAGGGAACTCCGCTGCCGGGGGTCCAGGGCCCCGCAGGCGATCTCCGGAAACGGACACAAGACCACGGAACCGGGGTCTCAAGGAGGGCTCCCAGGACCGCGCTCAGCCCACGTCTCGCCGCGCACGTGTCACCAGCGACTCGGGAAAAGAGAAGGGCGACAAAGAGAGGCTCCGCCACAGAATGCTCGCAGCACCAAGGCATCTGCGGAGCCATTTACCTTGGCGGGCGGAACCACCATGATCTTCTTGAAGTTATAGTGCGCCATGGCTGCGGCCGGGAGTCCACCGCCAACAGTTCACGAGGAAACTCCTGGGCGCCTGGAAGTGGGGCGGGAGCTTCCGCCGTCACACACGCGACCGCGTGCGGGAGAGGGAGCGTCACTTCCGGACAGTGCAACACTCGGGGGTGGTTCCGGGATTGAAGCGCAGCCTCGGTTCCACACACTTGCCCCTCTTTTTGCACAGCGCCCCCGCGTGGCCTGGAGGTTGTGCTGCAGTGCGCTTCTCGTCCATGAGATCGTTAGGAAGAGAAGAGTCCAGCCACAATTAGGGATGATGGGTCATCCCTTCCTTGTGACCTTTCTGTGAGGGGATGTCCCGTTGTCTACAGATGGGTTTTGCGTCTCTGCACCGACCCCCTCATTCTCAGCAATATGTTTGTTTGTTTGTTTGTTAGCACTGATGAAATCCACAATATTCTGCTGGTTCCTTGAGGCTTCTTCATCCTGCACTACCATGACGCCAGTCCTGCCTTTAACCGCAGGCTAGACTTAAGCAAGTGCACAGGTACAGATAAGAGATAAGAGCTCAGGCCACACGGAATCCAGGAACAGGAATGGGAGTAGTGATACCAGGAGAGTAGGGGCAAGGTGGGGAGGGGAGGGGAGGAAGGGGGAGCAACTGCAATGTGCCCCCCACCCCCACGAACAGCAGAAACCGTGGGGGGAGGGAGACAGCAGTAGGTGTAAGATGTGAAAATAATAATTTATCAAAGGGTCATGAAGGTGGGAAGGGGGAGGGAGGGACGGCAAAGAGGAGTTGATACCAAGGGCTCATATAGAAAGTAATTGTTTATAAAATAATGACAACATATGTACAAATATGCTTGATGCAATTAATATGGATTGTTATAAGAGGTGTCAGAGCCCCAATAAAATGATGTGTTAATTAAAAAAACCCAACCAATTAGGGATGGTGTCCTAGTTGTTGCTGTGATATTCCTTGAGTCAGTCCCTATTCATAGTGACGCGAGAGTGAAACATCGCCGGGTCCTGGGCCATCCTCCCAATTGCTGGGATGTTTGAGCCCATTGCTGCAGCCACTGTGTCCATTCATCTTGTTCAGGGACATTCTCTTTTTCACCGCTCCTCCACTTTACCTTGTATGACGTCCTTCTCCAGGGACTGGTCTGTCCTGATAACACGCCCAAGTACAGGAAACAAAGTCTTGCCGTCCTTTCCTCTCAGGAGCACTCTGGCTGTGCTTGTTTCAAGACAGATTTGTTTGTTCTTCGGGCACTCCGTGGTACTTTCCAGATTCTACACCAGCACCATCATTCAAATGTATTGTTTCTTCTTCAGTCTTTCTTATTCAGCGTTCAATTTTCACATGCCACGGAAGACATTGAAATACCACAGCGAATTGTGCCCGATCTGATCCCC